TAATAAGGCATCTAATTATTTGGAAACCTTGCATTTGAAAGCTTTAATTTCAAAAAAATGAAAAAATAAAATGAAAACCATATTAAATTAATTTTGAAATAAATTCAATAAATAGGAAAAATTAAAAAACATGAGTCAAAAAAAAACTAAAAAATGAAAAAACTTGCCACAATAGAGGCCCCCCCCAAGCATCATGGAACTGAATAAGGAGGAAAAAAATTGCCACAATAGAGTACCATGCTACTAATCGGGTGCCAACATTACACATGCAAAGAAGTGTGGCAAAACTGTGGCTTGAATCAAGAAGCGGGAGGGGGGATTGGGGGGAGGGCGCATCTATCTATCTATCTATCTATTTATCTATTTATCTATCTATACAAATATCTATTTATATACGCATACAAATTCTGATTTGCCAATAGACATTTTTGCTGATTTTCTATCTGACTGTCTTTCTGATATTAAATTAACTGACTAGCCTATATTATGACGTTGTTTCTGAAACCAATCCGATATCCTACCTGATATTCTTTGGCAGTATGTTTTGCCATTATCTTTGGCATCTTTTCTGGCAACATTTGTGCCCTTAGTTTTTCCTTCCTTTCCTTCCTTTCCTTCCTTCCTTTACTTCTTTTCATTGCTATCTAACCCGATTTTTTTTAATCCCGTTTTTTTTTGGATCCCGATTTTTTGTTTCTTGATCCGGATTTTTTTTGACCCCTATCCCATTCTTCACTGTGCCAACGCACTCAATGGGCTTCGATCAGCAAGTTTGGAGCGGCTTCTGTTTTTACAACAACAGCTCAGTGGGATGGGGCAGGCCTTGTTTCATGGCTGGCATTTTGCCATCAGGTCGCATGGGTATGGTGATTGTCTATGTGGATGATTTGGCAATTGCTTGCGAGCATAAGGACGACTTCAAGCTCATCATGGGCTGTTTGCAGAAGAAATTGAAAGTTAAGCACACAGGGGCGATTGAGCGTGAAGGTGGGCAAGTCACCTTTCTTGGCCGCGAGATTGTCAGGCTTCCTGGTGAATCTGTACTCTACGTGCATCTTCCTGAGAACTATTTGGAGAAGACTTTTGAGTTGTGGGGCCTCAAGACATCTGCGAATGCCAAGAAGGTGCCATGTATCAACTTTTGGCCATCTTGGACCAAGAGACAGCCGGTTCACCTCCACTTTCTAGAGAAGCTCACTCCGACCTGAAACATTTTGTCGCTCTTTTGGGAACGGTTCAAGCTGACCCTACTCAAGCTGCAGAGAAAGAGCTCTGAGATCACTCCTGAGGTTTTTGAGCACGGATGAGGCAGTATCGCTGAGGATTCCTTCACAAGGTCCAGGAGATTTGGGAAGTGATTTGTTTTCTGAAGTGGTGGCATACACTGATGCCAGCCATGCTGCTTCTACAAGAAATCGCCGAGGTGTCAGCGGTGGTGTTCTCACATATTTTCAAGGGGTCGTCAAGACCTACTCCCGTCACCAAACTTCCATCAGTTTGACTAGCTGCGAGAGTGAACTTCAAGCCATTCAGGTGGTCGTGCAAGAAACATCAAGAAACTATAGTTCTGGCTCGGTTGACCACTCGAGTCATGAGAGCTCTTGGATGGTCTATAGTGATTCGGAGCCTGCCTTGAAGATTCTTCGAGCTATGGATCTGCCACGAAGACCACGCCACATTGACGCCAAGTTTGAACATGGGTCATTAAATGTCCCCATTGAACATCACCCAACCATTAGGTATATGGTCTATAATGGCTACTATAAGGTGATGTCCAATATATTGAAAATGGGACAGTTACCAACCCCTGTTGAATGGATTCGTGAACTCATTTCCAATGGTTTTGCAGAAATCAAATATTTGAAGGGCGTGGACTTGGTGGCTGACGCCCTCACCAAGTGTCTCAGCAGTGCCAGGCTCTACGAACTTCAAGACATCATGGGTTTCTGCGAGAGGCGAATTTTCAAAGCACTCATGTCTTTGGTTCCGCCGAAGAAGCACAAGGGTTTTGCTTTGCTGGAGGTTTGCTTGTCAATCACTGGGAATGCCCTGGAGAGGGATCACATATGGGGTTGAAATGAAATCGATTCTGGAAAAGACTCGTGAATGGGTTTCCACTTTGAAGGTGGGTCTCCATGTGCATCTTTCAACTTTGTGTTCCAGTGGATCACCTTTGAGAAGGTTTGCCACTCCTGAACAAGCTTCGGAACTGGATGCATCTTGGGACGAGCACATTGCCGGTGCCGTGTCCTTGATGACATTTGGAGAAAGTACGAGCTTTGAGCTCCCTCTGTTCAACAACATTTGGAAACCTTGGTACGTCCAACAAGCTCTCCAACGTTTTGGGCATGGGCACAGTGCAATTGTTCATTTGTGCCAGACCGGTTTGCAGGGTTCGGACCAGAATCTCATTGGGAAAAAGACTCAAGTTCTCAACAAGTCTTCAAAGACTTGCAGACAATTTGAGGGGTAAGTTTGGTACCTGTAATTGCAAGGGAGGTCATGCCAACTTCAATGATGTGACATGGAGGAACACCGCATTGTACAACCGTTGTCTTGCAGAACAATTTGTTAAGGGTTTGTGTGAACACTATGGAAAGCCCAAATAGTTTGAGCCATATCTGGCTTGGTTGTTTCATGACGTCGAAGACATTTCATTTCAGGGATGTGACCGAAATAAACGCGAGGCTCGCATTTTTCCAGTCATGTGCCACATGTTGTTTTTCAGCTTGTAGGACGGAAACAAACGCGAGGCTTGCACTTTCAGTCATGTTCCATGTATTGCAGTTATAGGGTTGAAACAAATGCGAAACGTGCATTTGTCAACCATGTTAAGATGTTTTCAGAGACGGCAGAAACAAATGCGAAACGTACACTTGTCAGCCGTGTTTCATTTTTGTAGTAGGACCAAAGCAAACGCCAAACGAGCATTTGTCAGTCATGTCCATTTTCAGTTTCATGCATTTCAGTGATGTCATGTTTGCGTTGTGAAATGCGTGCGCAAGACACGCGCGCGACAACCTTAGGTTCCGCGAGGTGAGGTTTCCAGGTTCGAAAGGTCCCTGGTTGTTGCACTGTTTTTGATGGTTTTCCGACGCCAAAATGAGTGGAAGCGGCAGTGTGGAAAGCAACTAACATGCACATCATCCGAGTCACATGGGCTTTCTAACTCCTGAGTTTTTGTCAGACATCTAAACTCTCCAGTAGTTCGGATATGGTTCCTGCCAAATACAGGCGGGCTCCATCTTACCCACATTCTCGGGGGGTTGTTTATCAGAGTTTATTGTGCTTATTGGGATCCAATTTGCCAGTATGGAGCGATACCCATTTTGTACAGGTCAAAGATAAAGCCCACATATTCTTGTTTTTTGATAACACCCCCACCACTGATGGTTGCATCCCAATCTAGATCCATCATTCAGCTGGATGATAACTCACCAGCTTGAATTTCGGACAAATGTCTTTAGGTGCTACTGATCCAAAAATTGACGTCGTGGTGAGGTTATTCCAATTCAGCCAGGTATCGCATTCAAACAAGACGTGCACATCTACCTATCTCTCTATCTCTCTCTATCTATCTATCTATCTTTCTTTCTTCCATGGGAAAAAAAATCTCCCAAACACCATTTTCTAGGGTTCATGTTGAATTTAAGGGGTGTCAAAGTCGTTGTCACGCCCTCAAAGCCCTCCATTTGGGAAACCAGCAGCCAGGTGGATCCAAGTGACGTCGCCGTGGAAAATTACAAGTCTTGTTCTTGTTGAGCTTATCGCGTGGATCCTGGGTGTTGGGTTCATGGGTTGTGATAAGCACACTAGGAGTAACTAGGTATTTGTCCATGGAAAATTTGTCGGCCACTACGAAATCCAACACTCATCACTTCATTTGCCCCAAAGAATGCGATTTTGGGGCATACCCCATTGTCGAACACACCCAAGTCATCCAAAGCTGGGATCCAACCAGCAAAATCAGGATTTGAAACCAACCTTTTTGGAAATAGGCGCCTCCAACTTCAATGGTAGAAACGTGCGAACAAATCCTGCAACGAGGGTGGGACACATATCATAACTATTTGACATCACCAATCAGCTATTCGGGTGTCTGAGAACAAAGGTATGCCTCAAAACTGCAATTTGAATCAGCACATGATGATAAATCATGGAATGTGTCTGCCGCCCAATTTCATACAAACACATTTACTGCCACAAACAAAATCCATCATTCATTGTTCAAATCCCCGTTTCGGACTATCAAATCCCAATGTTTCATGCTTAAGTCTCCAATGTTGTGATGATTGAATTTTACATGACAATAAACCACATCTTTTTCATTAGCTGGAAAAATTCGAATAGATTCCAATATATTCACACACACACGCACATATATATAATTCTAATCATTAATCAATTTAAATATGTTTATAAAAAAGGCCTTTATGGCATAATCTATCCAAATGGTCGAAAATGCTTGATGCGTTGACTCACCCGAATGCCCCCGGCCTACATCAACTAGTTCAGCAAATTCCAGCAAGTTAGTTTTTTTGCTTCAACAGTGTTTGAAACGGCTACTTAGATCAAGAATGATCAGCGTATGTAAACCCACAGTTTTGATCAGTTTTGATGGTAAAACAAACTAAGTCCAAATTTTAGACGATTTTTGCTAGTCAGATCCATTAAAATCCCAACGTTTGGAAGACGAATCGTCGGTGAAACCTCTCGGAAACCTTCATTGCAGGTGAAACAACGTAGCTTTCTTCAATCCAATTGATACAGACCTTCTCCATCAATTTCGCGCATCTATCTGCTCTAACCGCTCGTCCAATTCGATCTCAGATACCCAGTTTACGCTTCGAAAACGCATCGCATGGGAAATCCAGTGCCTTGGAACATAACAAGATGCCACGTTCTGGTACACCTTTGTCAGAGCTCGGTATGTGTCGAATCCTTGGAATGCCTCGGCCATGTCCTGCGGAGCCAGCCCCCCCCTCCCCTCGTCAAGTCGCTGCGCAGCGCCTCTGCAATGAATGGCGGCAACTTGGCGGTGCCGGCGGCAGCATGGCCGGAGGGGCCTCGACGGCCGCAGGGCAAAGGATAAAAAGGTACCCGGTGGCCCAGCGGGATTCAAAATATCACCAACGGTGAAAATTTTTGGGTTGGCCACATTATTCCGATTGGCCTCCGGTGTCATCAAACATGTGTGAAATTCTTTAGTTCCATGAAATTACCAGGCTGTAAACCTCCATTTAGTGCGGTGGTTTTCCATTGCCGCGATCTATTTAGTGTTAAATACTCATAGGGATGCTCGGGTAAACCTCCGTGTGATATTGGGGGGATGTGATTGATGCTGCTGGTATTGCCACAGGGATTCAGCTCGTCTTCCCAACGCATGAACCTGCAACTGGCAGTTTCGGCATCAGGCAGTGGAAAACAATGGAAAGCACGGCTACCATCTTTGGTTCCATACAGTACCAGGATTTCAGGTCTCCATCTATGACCAATTCCCCAGGTCGATCATCCATAACCCTTGGGATCTTCGAAATGATTGGGTGCCTGGAGGGTCACCCTACAAATCGTGGTCGGGAAGTACGGTCATACTACAGTCATAAATAGGATAGACTCTAGACAATTTAGGACCAATAAAACAGGCTTATGACTTGCTAAATCTGGTGCTTGAGACATCCCAGAAATATGCTCCTCATCTGCGATCATTCATTATTAAATTATCATTCACGTATCCCATATTCATTCCATATTAATGTGGAAGTAAAACATATCTTTGAAACTCAGAAATGGCCTCCGTCTCCGAAGTCGATGCCGGCATGGTCGTCACCGTCACCGTCTCGGCGCTTACGACCGCGACGTCGCTAAAAGCGGCGCCGACGGCGGCGCTGTCAATGAGGCTCAGTGGGTTGGCGGGCTCCTGGATCCACGGGACATTGATCAGTTACCAAGTGATCTTTTTATTCAAGGAAAGATTCAACCAACGTGTCCGGGTCCGGGTTAATATCATTAAACCCATAAAAAAAGGGTTTAATACAAAAAGCACCATATCAATATAGACCGGAACACTTGCTCTGGGATCATTCAACGAGGGTGCAACCAAACGTTCCACATGGGATCTTTGAAGCAACAAATATTGGAGATCCAACCAGCGAATATGTGGGGCCCACCCGGCGACCCGGGCCCAGAAAGTAGGTCAGGTACCAGCATCCCTTTTTTTCTTGAGTGGAACATGACAAGTTTGTGAAATCAAACCTACCAAAGGTTCACGGAAAAGACGCACCTCTGCCCCGGACACGATCGACTCGCCAGAACGGTGGTGGAGGAGAGTGGGAATCAGCAGCCAAAAGTGAAGATTCAGAAGGAGCACCTGGGATCTCTTCGAACTATCGAACAATCCAGGATCCCTGAAGACATTTTTCAGCAGAAATCATCTTTGAGGCTTCTTTGTTGGCTCCTGTCTGTTCTTATGCCCCCCCAAAAAATAACTAATTACCATAGTTCACCCAAATCATGGCCAACCTTACTATCTTACTTACATGTCATATCCGTACAATCACTGAGTTAAACCATGTTCCAAGCGGCTACACCCACCAGACATCGCCAGAAAGTCTTGCAGGTCACCAGCATGGCCCATGGCTGAAGCCCGGACGGGACACGTGGTGTCTGCGGCAAGATCAGGACATTTCGGACGTGGGCTATTTATGAAGAGTTGGAATGACATAATATCATTATAGGAGATCATGGATGGATTTGGATGGATTTGGGGTTATGAGGGTTATGACTTTCCAGCATGGACTGTTCTTTTCGCTTCATTTCGCAAAAGGGATCCGGCACCATGGTCTGCACCATCTCAAGAGAGGCATATCTACAGCCTGCGTATTGCAAGCTTGAAACGATCAACAGCGAACGAAGCCATGGCTGGTTCCCCAATCTCTGGGCAGCTGGACGTCGAACAAAGTCAGGGATTCAAGTCATGAGTATCAGCTACCAGGCCAAACTTTTGCTTTCTGCTATGTGCATATTAGTATGCATTCAATAGGCATCGGGGATTAATTCCATTCTCCTAATTCCCCACCATTCACCAAATCTACGGTACCCAGGGCACGTTCCCGTGGATATTTGCATCCCTTGATGCGCCGGTTCCGCGGATCGGCGCAACGTTTCTGGACACCCGGCAGTTGGACAAAGGCGCCTCAACCGTTGGAGCTTCAACTGCTGAAAACCAGTGCTTAAAATGGTGGCTTAAACCATGTTTAAACATGAAACAAGGGGGTTTTAAGATGATTCAATTTGATTCAGGCCTCGAACAGGATCATTTGAGATTAGTAGTGGTGAATAGTTTGACTGAATAGTGGTTCAATAGTGCTGTAAAATGGTGTATGGCGATTTATTCAAGACAAGAGTTGCTGCACCCATCCTGGACCATTTCATGTGATTGGAAGTCATCTTTCCGGACCATCAATTACCCTCTGGTAAACCAATATAGCTATGAAAAATCACGATTTTAACTGGGAAATCATCTCTCAATGGCCCATTTCCATAGCAAACTGTTAGTTTACTATGTTTACTGGAGGGTATGTTGATCAGGTCTCTGAGCCACGTCGACAGATTTTGGTCGATTCCATTAACCGATTGTTGGTGAGAACCATTTGAATCATTGTTCAATGCACCACCGTTATTCAAGCCTCATGCTGCTTGATAATTCCAAAGATTTCCAAGTATTTATTGTCATTTTTTTGGGTGCTTAACTGCCCGAAATCTGTTGTACTTTGTAACCTCCAGATTTGCCACCCGCGATTCATCAGGAGGTGACCAGGCGATCCTGGCAGAACTTAGCTAAGTCACCTTCATCCACCATTGTTGATGGCTTTGCTGTCAATGACCGTCGCATTGAAAGGCCCCACTGTGGTCTGAAGCGTGAACTCTGGCCAAAAAAGGGCCTGCTGAAGATGGCCGTCTTTGAATGGTACAACCCTCAAAACGATAGACATACAAAGAATCAATAAAATTGAAATATATACTACTGGGAGTTGCTTTACATTGTCCCCACTTGAGGTAGTTATAATGAAATTTGGAAATGAACTATGTGAGAAGAAATGGTGATACATATTGGAGACTGCTGCCGCAACGATGGCATGTTGGGACGTGAACTTACCAATCCTTGTTGTCTGAACCGCCACAGAACCCACACCTCCTCTGGCTGCACCTTGGGCATCGGTTCCTGGAAAGGTGGCATGGAGGGCCTGGTTTTTGGAGTGATACAGTTGGGCAAACATGGGCAACCAATGTTGGAATATCTTGGAATATCCCACCACAAAAGAACAACTTCCACTTGATGGGAACTTTTGAAAGATCCCTTGGGATCACTACTTTCCAAAACCAAAATCGCACCAACAACTGTGAGCTGCAATGGCGATTGTGTTTCAAGGGAGCTTGTCCTCTTTTGCCATCAACCAACTTTGATCCCGGGATCCATCGGCGCCTCAGTCGGAGCCTCGGTCGGAGCCTGGGTCGGAGCTTCCAGGGGCTTGTCTTGCGGCGACGTCGTGAAGCGAGCGTTTGGGTCGAAGCCCTCCTTGCTGGTCTGAGTGGCGCAAATTTCAAACATGGCTTTTTCATTTGATGTTGAAGGATTCCCAGACTGGATCATGATAATCATCGATAATCATTATATAATTGATCGAAAGAAGTTTAGAAGTCAAACTTCCGACAATATGGACAGATGAA